CACCAGACAGGCATGAGGTGGCTGTAGCTTACCAGTTTGTTTTTTTACGCATCAATTTAAGCTGGATCACTGTCTTGGTGATCAGTGCTGCCTTCACGGACTGTGACAATGAGGATTGTATGAGAAGTGAGGCTGTTTTTTTTCCTTATACACGGAGCCTGGTGTGAGTGACTACCAGGCTAATCTGGGGGTGTTTTTTTTTTTTTTAACCCAGTGTGAACACAAACCCACAGCCGACTTATTTTTTTCTCCTGGACGGCGGAGCGCACTCAGGGACGAAAATGTCTTTACGCACGGCACTGCCTGGGAACGATCGGAACCCGGACCATGTAAGTAGATGATTAAAAGACTGGGCGTCCATTTGTCACATCCAGCAACAGGGATAGGTTAAACTTAGGTCTTATTATGCTTTTGAAGAAAATGATAATACCACCCCCCCCCAACCCCTCCTTGCCAAGGTTCTCAGATTTGTCTGCCATGTGCAAAGAGCAGCTGCAATCAAGCAAGGCGACACAGGCGCGCTAATCTCCCCTAACTCATTTGGGACGGGTTGCAATTGGACACACAGGCTGGCCAGGATGAGAATGGAGAACATTGGGAGAGAGATGACGGATGGGGGAGGTTTGGGTACAGATTCGTGTTTAAGTTGATAACGCTGATATGCAAAATGCACAAATGTAATCAGTTAATGAATTGCTTTAAAATCCTTTCACCTCCACCTCCTCAAGTCACAAGTGCGCATGTTAGCTTTCCCCCAGCTGATCAATAATTGATGCATCTGATGCAAGGCCACCCAGCCCTCTCCACACCCTGCCTGCCCTGCACCCATCCCTCCTCCCTTATGCCAGTCTATCTCTCCTCCATCACCTCACCTCCAGCTCTTCACCTTCTCTGTCCCCTCCACCCTGTCTGACCTGTCCAGCTTCCCCTTTAATCAAACTGTGTGACAGGCAGCTCAGTGGGCAGCCCAGTATTGCAAAATCTGCTGTGTCAGGCTAGCCTGGTTTGTCCTGCTCATGTTTTTCTGTGTCTGTGGCAGTGTCTGGGTTTTGGGGAGAAAGGACTTAGAGAGTTGATTGGCTTTTTGAAGCATTTTACAGGTTTTACTTCTGAGGATGTTTTGTAAAGATGCATTAAGGGGCGTTAACCCTCTCTAATATCCCTTCACCACATATTGCCATGACATCAGTAGTGTAGCTGTACAAAGAATACCCACCTTTATCTCAAGGGCACCTAGCTTACACCAACCCAGCAGCCTGAAATATCACTGAGTCCTTTTGGATTTGAAGCTCTCACAAAGAGCGACTTCCTTTTGCAGCACCAGCGAACAGCTGACAAAATACAGAACACTTCCCTTCTGTTTTTTAAGGGGTATTTAAAGAGTATGTAGTCACTACACCAGTCCCTGTGTGTCTGCTGTTTACATATTGTGGAAATATCTCAAAGCAGTGCCTGTGACTGTCACAGAATTTATCCAGCGATTGGCTGTTTTCCTTGGCGTTCACACTGACCTTTCACCACAGTGACTGTACGCCATATTTGGGGTGGGACACTCAAGCCGAAAGACAGACATAAGTGAAATATAGTTTTCCATCCTGGTTGCAGGCAGTAGTGTAAGTTTTGAATGGCAGACATGGGAAAATACATGAAAACCATCCAGATGAGGTCCTTCTTCTCAGGGATATTTACTGTATACATTCTGAGCCCTGGTTGTACCCATGGGAGAGATGCTGCCATCCCTCCTTGCCAACCTGCTGTTGGTTAGGTGTTTATTGCCTGTGTCTCTTGCCAGGAGCACTTTAAAAATGATCCTTTTACATGAACTTGTTGTAGTAGGTTTGGACAGTTTGTGTCAGGCCACACCCAAATGTAGGACTCCGTAGTTGTAGTGACGCTGCTTTTAGATAAAGCCTTTTATTCCATTAATAATCAGAATAAAGAAGCTCACTCTTAGAAACAGCAAAATTCACTTAAAACCTTAAAACAATATCTTTTGACTTTCTCAACGTACCTTGGTCATATAATGTTTCGCAGTTTATGTAAAATACTTATTATACTACAAATAATACTGGGTGCTCCTGGTGGGTCCCTTCTCCTGTTCAATAACTGCAAGGGTGATAAAACAGTTTCTCATGAACAAAGCAGAGCAGTAAACCAATAATAGTGTCTAATACGTGATTTACAGAGATCCATCTTTGTCAAAAACTTGCTGGTGGCTGAGTGCTAGTCCCACATAGAACAGAGCTCTTCTTTCAGTCTGTGGAAGCAAGATAACTGAAATGATTATTTAAGTCAGCAGTCATGTTAACCCTTGTAGGTAATGTAATCTATTCTGTCCTTTTCCTTCTATAAACCTGTTGATCTAGTTCATCAGTCGCAGTACTTTGAAATCTAGGGCCGAACAAGTAATTGAAATATTATCAAAATCCCAATATGGCAGAGTGCGACATCCAAATCGCAAGTCTTTGGTAAAGGTCAAGTGCGTCACAACATAAATCTTTTTGTGAAAATGAGATGCAAAAATTACAATTCCCATTAAAATTTTGACTCAAAGCAATATCTGCCAAAATGAAAGGGTTTGTTTTGTTTTTTGCATCTCATTCAACCCTAGTGAAATTAACATTTTTTAGATTTTTTTTTTACCTTCACACAACATAACCAGTCATATTTAGGCCCTTCCCCATTTTAATTAATTATAAAATAAACATATGTGTCTAAGCTGGCAGAGGTGGCACTTTGTATTAAAGAAGTGCAGGGGAAGAAAGTATTTGGCTGTAAGCTGGGCAGCAGAGGGATTGCTGTACTCGCTCACCAGGCACAAGCCACTCTTGTTAGCAACCTCACCATGGCAACAGCAGGGGGTCCTCCATATACCCCCCCCCACCTTCCCTTTACTTCTCCCACCCCACCCTTCCTCACCCACTCTGGTCCATTTCAGCAGACACATGCACTATCATTAGCTCTCACACAGACCGTCTTCTAGAAAGGTACACTCAGTTGCTGCCCAGTCTATATGCAGAGAACAAGGGCTGGAACAAATGCAATATTTTATTAAAACACTGGGATCAATATAGTGATGTTTTTCTTTAGTGCAGACATTTTCTCTGACCAATTCTGCTTGTCATATTGTATTCTCAGTATTTTTTTGACCTGTGTATGTTGCACCATATGGTCCAAGGAGAGCGTTGTTTGGTCTCTGCTGTGTACTCTACTGTAGATGGTTGGGATGACAGTAAATCTGGACTTGACTAGACTTGACTTTCTGGCAGTTCAACTGTTTACCAGGTTAAGTCTGTTCGGCATGTGAATGATGGCTTGTGTTCGTGTTGCTGTGTGCACACAGATTCTGTTTGCACTTTTATAGTGGAAGTTATAATGTAATAAAGATGCTCACTACCACAGATTTGAACTGTGACTACTATATTTGATCCAAGAAACCATCTCACGCCTCTTTTCTGGCTGAATAATGAGGTCCAATCTTCCTCTTTCATTAAGCTTAAAAGCTGTTTCAAATGATTTTTGTTTAAAAAACTAACAAATGTCTTCAGTTGATGCTGACATCACTGCCTGTGCTAATTTTAAAACTGAGACCTAAATAGCTTTGAAATATGGCTGAAGAACCGTTTCCAAAGTTGTCATATTTCAGAATTTACTAGTTTCCTAGTATGTCAGATTTAGGTTTTGTGATCTTGATCCTGATGTTGAAAGTTATCACTTTTTGCAGGTTTTTGTGGATGGTAGTGCTTTGGAAATTTGCTGTCATTTACGGATGCGTTTCTGTTTCACTGTGTGTGTGTCTTAGCCCCTCCCCTCACACACGGAGCAGATCAGAGATAGGTTGATACCTCTTTATATTAAGTACAGTTAAAAACTTTCTTTATAAATCCCTTTAAAACCAAAGATGTACAGACAAATGTCAAAACTGCCCCTCAGAAATGCGGGAGATGTCACAGAGGCTATGTCCATCTTTATATAAAGTCTATGGCTGATGCTCGTGCAGTTTAGAGGGAGAGAGCGTAACCAGGTCCCCTAAGCACCTCAGGTACAGACTGTCAGTAGACACTGAAATGTACCGATGTTCCCTAAATGCGGCATATGCAGGCTATGGCTAGATGTTAGCTAGGTGTCAAGTCCCAATCAGTCACTGCAGTGAATGCAACTCTAACAGGTGTATGGCCAAAATGAATTTAGTTTGAAAAGAGTGAAACAAGGAGCTCTAATGTAAGTTTTAACGTTGGCTGTGTAGCAATATTAAAAGTTACACATAGCTCCTTTAAAGTTATAGTGTTGCGTCATCACTTGTGTCTAGGATTACTGGTGTCTAGTCTAGGTTAGTTAGCACTATGATGGTGAAGTTTATGGCATACAGTCAGTGAAGGTGCTCCCATGTACAATAAACAGATGCATATGTTTGCTTTCTGTTGCTTTACTGTGGGAATGGGCACACTATTTTGTTTGGGGCTAATCTTGAGGTTTTATCTGTGTGAGAGAGAGAAAAGGAAATCGTATTGTAGGTGTGGATGAGTGCTTGTGCGCACACGTACAGCTGTGTGTTCTTACAAAAAAGGCCAACATGTCTTTCAGTGTGCCACTGCAGGGCAGAGCAGGGCTTTTGTGTTCCCCCGGACGAGATTCGTTAGCTCGCTGTCCTGACTTGTTTCCCAAAAGCTGGCACCCACCTCTGATGCCCCCGATGGCATTCGTTCCACCTAGAAACACATCAGATACACTCATCAACAGCTCCAGGCTTCTAATCATCTGGTCTGCAGAGGCCAACTCAACCATGTATGATCAGTATGAAATTAAGTGGGTTTATATTGGGTAACCTATATACCTATATTTGTCACAATGCCTCGCTGATGTGTGCGGTTTCGTACACTCGCCAGCTTAACCCAACTGAAATGTTTTTAGAGTTACGGGTGAAACAGTAGCCCAAAGGTCAGAGAAGTGGGCCAGTTACTGGGAAATGTCTGGCTTAAGCTGGAGAGGTGACCATCTGTTTAGCCTTAGCAGCTACTACCAAGGTGCCCACGAGTGAGTGACTGAGCTCCCAGTTTTTCTGGTGACACTTGTCCTCGGGCAGCAGTGGCAAACTGTGGTAGATTCAGCTGTGAAAGTATAAAAGTGTGGATGTAAAGCAGGGCAGTGGTGGGAAAAGAGCTTAAGAGATTTAGCAGACTTTCCTGTAAACACCTTGCTCAAGAGCACGTCAGTGACTGTTTTTTTTTTTAAGGGAGATTGATGTATTTGCTGTGACTGTCCCTACTCAGATTAGAATTACTTGATTAGATCCATTTTCTTGGATTTATTTACCTTGCCTCTTTGTTGT